CGTTGTATCCCATCCGATCCGTAGGACCACATCCCTCAGGGCCCCGTTTTTGAACCACGGATGGGTGGAGCTCCCAATCGGCTAGGTCGGGCATGTCCTCCTGCGGGCGGACTTTGCAGAACAATGAAAATACTCGGAGCAAATTCAGAACATTGCCAAAAGAGTGCGAAACATCGTCACCAGACTAGTTTTTAAGGCGCGCGGAGGAGGAGGAGGAGGAGGAGGAGGAGGAGAAGGAGGAGGAGGCGGATGAGGAGGAGGAGGAGGAGGCGGAGGAGGAGGAGGGAGAAGGAGGAGGGGAGGAGGCGGAGGAGGAGGAGGAGTGTACCGAGGCAGGCAGGGCGGCGCCCTGCGGGCGCCCAGCACCGGGTGCCGTGGGTGGAGCTCTCCCTGTGGCCGTGGAGCACGATCCGCGCGGAGAGGATGCCGAGACGGGCGGGTGGCAGTGCCCGCAAGCAGAAGGGAAGGAGGAGGAGGAGGAGGAAAAGGAGGAGGAGGAGGAGGAGGAGGAGGAGGAGGAGGAGGAGGAGGAGGAGGAGGAGGAGGAGGAGGAGGAGGAGGAGGAGGAGGAGGAGGAGGAGGAGGAGAAGCAGCAGCAGAAGGAGTAGCAGCTGGAGGAGGAGAGGAGGAGGAGGAGGAGGAGGAGGAGGAGGAGGAGGGAGTAGGATGGAGGAGGGAGAAGGAAGGAGGGGGACGAGGGGGGATGATGATGCTGATGATGATGATGACAACGATACTGATGCTGATGCTGATGATGATGCTGAGGAGGATGAGGATGAGGATGAGGATGAGGATGAGGATGAGGATGAGGATGATGCTGATGATGATGACGACGATTATGATGCCGATGCTGATGATGATGCTGATGATGATGGTGATGATGATGAGGATGAGGATGAGGATGAGGATGATGATGAGGATGAGGGTGAGGGTGAGGATGATGATGATGCTGACGACGATGATGATGATGATGATGATGACGACGATTATGATGATGATGATGATGATGATGATGATGATGATGATGATGATGATGATGATGATGATGATGATGATGATGATGATGATGACGAGGATGAGAAAGGCGAGGATGAGGAGCAGCAGCAGGAGGAGGAGGAGAAGGAGGAGGAGGGAGTAGGAGGGAGGAGGATCAGGGAGGAGGAAGGAGGGGGAGGAGGGGGGGATGATTCTGATGATGATGATGATGATGATGAGGAGGAGGAGGAGGAGGAGCAGAAGGAGGAAGGGGAGGAGGAGGAGGAGGAGGGAAGGGATGAGGGAGGAGCGAGGACGGAGGAGGGAGGAGGGAAGAGGGGGACGAGGAGGTGATGGTGATGATGATGATGATGATGATGACGATGATGATGATGATGATGATGATGATGATGATGATGATGGTGATGATGATGGTGATGATGATGGTGGTGATGATGACGATGATGATGAAAAATGATGATGACGATGATGGTGATGATGATGATTGTGGTGATGATGTTGATGGTGATGATGATGATGCTGCTGATGATGATGATGGTGATGATGATGCTGATGATGATGAGGAGGAAGAGACGACGAGGACGAGGAGGAGGATGAGGAGGGAGGAGGAGTAGGGAGAAGGGAGGAGGGAGGAGGGGGAGGAGGGTGGGGAGAAGGCGGAGGAGGAAGGAGGGGATGAAACGCGCGGCGCTGCGGAGAGAAAGCGAGCACTCAACAACACAGGAAGAAAAGGTTGGGGGAAGAAGCGCCCGAACACATAGATCCACCATCTTGCTCATCCTCCTCGAGGCACGCCACGAAAGTCTGTACACGGACACATGCTGGCGAGGTCCTCCTGTGCCCTGAAGCCTCCAGGGAGGGCTGCGGCGCCTTAAAAAATCGCTGGCTTACAGTCTGGTGATTTGCACCGCCTCCCGCCCCTGAGGCTCAGAAACAATCCACTGTGGGGGGGGGGGGGCTGTGTACGTTTGGCATGAAAGAACTGGGTCGTGAGGAAGACTGGTCCTGGACCCTGGGGCCCGCCCCAAGAACCAACTTCTCGTCATGAATCGTTTTCTGAGGGTCGCGGGGCTCCTGGGGGGCGCCAGGAGCCAGAGAACGGCAAACAACGCGGGACCCCGTTCCCCTCAGAACCTCTTTGCTTCATGGCGTACATCGGCGGCGAGCCCGGAGGGGAAGTGAGAAGGACAAGGCCTTCTCAGAAGGCTCGGAAGTCCCATGGCCTTCTGAGAAGTGTTCCAAGCCTTCCCCGAAGACGCAGAGACTCTCTCGGATTGCGCAGGGGATGCCCCGCCGCCTTCTGAAAAGGCCTTCTCCTTCTCACTTCCCCCTCTCGCTCGCCGCCGATTATAGTTACGTGGCGGGGGCTGGCGCGGGGCGCCGGAAGAAGTCTATGATGATGCGGGCGCCGGCGGGGTCGTAGCGCCAGCGCAGGTCCACGCCCTTGAGCGGAAACAAAGGGACCTCGGAGCCCGGCCGGCAGAAGCCGCCGTCCTCCGGGCGGCTCTCGGGGGAGGGAGGACTGGGAGGGGGCAGGGGGCGGAAGAGGGGGAGGATGATGATAATGATGATGATGATGATGATGATGATGATGATGATGATGATGATGATGATGATGATGATAAAGATGATGATGGTGATGATGATGATGATGATGATGATGATGGTGAGGATGATGGTGGTGATGATGATGGTGGTGAGGACGATGATGATGGTGGTGGTGATTATGATGATGATAGCAATGGTGATGGTGATAATGATGGTGATGATGACGATGATGATGATGGTGCTCATGATGATGATGATGATGATGATGATGATGATGATGATGATGATGATGATGAGGATGATGGGGAGGACTGGGAGGTGGAGGGGGAGGTGAAAGAGGGAGAGAGGGGGGGGAGGGAGGGGGGAGGGAGGGGAGGGGGGAGAGAGGGGGGATGGCAAGCTAGGTGCGCTCGCGTCATATCTGACATCCTACCCCTCCCTCCCATCCCTTACCATGGCGTAGATCCCCTCTCTACTCGCACAGTCGGATGTTGAGCAGGGCAATGATCCCGAAAGGGTACGCGATGCATTGTAGAGCACGGCATGGCATGGCGTAGAAGAGCACCGCAAAGCATAGTATGTCACAGCATTGCATGGCGTGGCGTAGTATTGCATCACACAGCTTTGCAACGCAAAGCATGGCATCGCACAGCGGCCCCGAACATAACATTGCATAGCATGGCGTTGAAGATCAAAGTGTAGCATGGCATAGCATGACGTGGCACTTACGCACTGGATATGGCAGCTGCAGCTGAAGGCATGGCATCGCGCAACGGAACGCAACCTAGCATTGCATTGTATGCCGTGGCATGGCACGGGAAATGACGCCAGCGCTGCAACGGGAGCACGATTCGGAACGAGCGGAAACGCGGAAATGAGGCCAGCGCTGCAGCGGGAGCACGAGTCGGAACGAGCAGAAGCACGGAAATGAGGCCAGCGCTGCAGCGGGAGCACGATTCGGAACGAGCGGAAGCCCGACAATGAAGCCCGCGCCTCAGCGAGAGCATCATTTTGAAAAAAAACCCAAACAAAACAAACAACTCCAGGAAATCCGGTGTAAAAAAACGATACGCGGAGGGGTGCCCGCCATTTTCCGCACGCCATCAGGGGATGGAGGAGAGTAGTATTCATATTGTGTAATTGTGGAGGGGGAGGGAGGGTAAGGGGACAAAAAGTGGAACCCCTTCGTCGTCGGCCCCGCATTCGTCCCCCCACCCGAATTTCAAAGTTGGGTTCGGCCTCTCGGAGGCCCTGGGGGTTCCACTATTTTTGTCCTCTCAGGTTTGTGCTGCCAAATGCTTGAGGCCAACTTTGAAATTGGGGGGAGGGGGGGGGTCAAGGATTCCACTTGTTTGTCCATCTACGTGAGGACTGGGAGGAGGGGGGGAGGGAGACGGGGATGGGAGCGCGGGAGGAGCAGAGGGGAGCGCGGGAGGGGGGGAGGGGGGCAGGCCAGGCGCGCTGGCGCTGGATCGGACATCCCTGCCCCTCCCACCCGTCCCTTCTCGCGCGCTGGTCTGCTCCGATGTGCCAGCTGGTGGCAAAGTGGTCCCGCGACCCCCTCGGAGGACACCATCGTGGTATGCGTGGTCAGAAGGCAGGAGCTGGAGGAGTAGGAGGAGTAGGAGGAGGAGGGGGAGGAGGAGGAGGAGGGGGAGGAGGAGGAGGAGGAGGAGGAGGAGGATATGGAGGAGGAGGAGGAAAAGGACAAGGAGGAGGTGGCGAGATGAGCAAGAAGATGAGCTGGAGGAGGAGGGGGAGGAGGATGGGAAAGAGGAGGGCGAGGAGGAACAGCAACACCATGAGCAGGAGAGGGAGGAGCAGGAAGAGCAGGAGGACCAGGGGAATGCGGTAGAGAGATACAGAGCGGGGAGACGACGATGAGGAAAGACTCGGATCCAGAACAGCAGCCCGACCTGAAGCGACATCGCAATGTTGATTGACGAGAGCAGGACGCCGACTCTCTTATCGGGCCCACGCCTCAACTGGAGCACCATTTTGAAACACCGAAGACATTCCGATCCCAAGAAAGACTATATAGCACATATGTAAGCCAGAAGTGTGTGTGACATCCACTGCGAGAGTAAATACAATGTGCGAAGAGCTTTGCACACTGCCCACTGGACGTATGCGGGGGGCATGAAGAGAGCAGCATTCACAGTGGGTAACCGTAGGGCAGAGGGATGGCGACTAGGGGAAGGAGAAGCCAGAGGAGGGGAAGGAGAAGGCAGAGGAGGAGGAGGAGGAGGAGGAGGAGGAGGAGGAGGGAAGTCAGAGGAGAAAGGGAAGGGGAAGGCATAGGAGGGGAAGGGACAGGCAGAGGAGGGTGAGGAAAAGGACGAAAAGCAGAAGCAGCACTGGGATGATGATGATGGTGATTATGATGATGATGCTGATGATGATGATGATGCTGATGCTGATGGTGATGATGATGATCGGTGATGATGATGACGATGATGATGATCCCCCCTCAGCGGGCAACGTGCGCTGCACAGGAGCCGCCCCGCGGCCGCGGCCGCCGCGCCGAAGCCTCAGCCCCGGTCCGCCGAGTGCTCGCCCTCGACACAAACGCAGGCCGCCGGACGAGCGCAGAGAGCGACAGGCGCTACACAGCCCCCCCGCCGCCGGCGACGAGCTCCATGAAGTCGAGCCGCACCCCCGTGAGGAGACCCGCCTCCTCCGCGTCCGCCTTGAGGATGCGAACGCTGGCCGTGTCCCCGTCGACCGCGTCGATCCGCCCCACCGTGCCCTCAAAGAGGCCGCAGCGTCGCAAGACCACCACGTCGCCAGCGCCCGCGGCCCGCCGACGGGCCGCCGCAGCCTGCGCCGTCGACCGCTGCAGGCCGTCGGCCCAGGAGTTGTCCATGGGGTCGCCGTCGGGCGGCGCGGCCGCCGCGGCTGCACCAGCCGCAGCTCCAGCTTCGGGGTCCCCCACGCCAGCCTCCGCCGCCGCCCCAACTCCACCAGGACGAGCACCTCCCCGAGAAGCGGGCACTACCGTCGCCGACGACGCCTGGCCAGGCCGTGCCGGGCGCCGAAGCCGCCGAGCCCGTGTAGTCGCCGCTGTTGCGCCGCCAGCTCCTCCATCCTGCTGTTCCCCCGCGTCGTCGCCGTGGGCGCCCGGCACGGCAGGCGAGGGCCCGGCGCCGCGCCCCGCGCGGCCGCGCGGCCGGTGGCGCCTCCGAGGGAGCGCCGCGGCCGCCGGCTCCGGCGGGGAGGGCGCTGCCTTCGTGCCGAGCTCCACGATCGCTGCCCGGAGCAGCCCCTCGGCGGCACGCAGCATGCGCACTCCCGACCGGGAGTGGCACGCCGCGAGCCCGCTGGCAGCATGCGCCGCCAAGAGAGCGCCGCGGGCCGCCTCGGCGGCAGCGCGGGCTCCAGAGGGACCGGCCATCGCTGCCCTTCCTCAGCCTCCACCTGCTGCCGGGGTAGCAGGCGGGCGGGTCTGTGCGGGCGCGCGGCCTGCGTCGGGGGCGCGGGCGCGCGCGGCGGGGCCAGCGTGCACGCCTTGGGCCAGTATGCCGACTATGACGATGATGATGATGATGATGATGATGATGATGATGGTGATGGTGATGGTGATGGTGATGACGATGATGATGATGATGATGATGATGATGATGATGATGATGATGGTGATGCTGATGGTGATGGTGATGGTAATGGTGATGGTGATGGTGACGGTGATGATGATGGTGACCATGATAATGCTGCTGATGATGATGATGATGATCGACCGTACCTGAGGCGAGCCAGTTCGCACGCATCGTCAGCCGCTTTAGATGTAAGTGGCGCGCTGTGCTGCTGCGACGGCGGCTCGCTGTTGGCTTGGCGTGAGCTGGTCCCCATGGGTCGCCGCAGCTCTCGCCTTGTGGTAGGTATTTAATGCCAACACGGTCATTCGCAGCGCACCAGCGCGCGGGAACGTGCGGCTCTCGCGGTTGTATTCGTTGTCGGCCGCTAGGCCTGGGAAAGTCTGATGGTAGGAGGGGAGGCCAACGAGGGAGCGGCGGACGGGGCAGGAAAGATAAAGGGCGATGGAGTCAATCTGGGCGGACCCAAAAAGGCAATTAGCGAACTCACGCTCGTGGCTTCGATGGCTGGTTGTCCAGCCAGCTGCGATGGTCTTCATTATTGACCACTGCCAAGCAGGTCTGCACTTCTTGATCGTAGCAAGACACTCCCCCCACCGCCCCGCCACCCCGCCCACGACGCTATCAACAAAGCCCCAAGCGTTCAGACGCTTGGAAATAGTGACTTCAAGTTTATTGGGGAGGAGAAAGAGGCGGAGGAAAGAGGGGGCCGTATGCTGGAGCTTGGGCTTCTTGCCCACCGCTTGCGCCGCACGAAATACCATGCGGCCTGTTGCATGCAAGGCTCCCCGCTGGACAATCGGGATGCCACAGTGGGGTGGGCGATTCACTAATTCTGCGAAATGCTGGGCGATCCCCTGCTTCTGGATCCAGCAGGTTGCGCTCCACTCTTTTTTGATCCATTCTTCGATGGGGCAGGTCAGCGGCGCCGATTCGCGCCACCTGTCGAGCTCTGCTGCCCATTCAGTGCTCGCGAGAGTGGAGCAGCTGCAATTACTAGCTGCTCCTAGGATCAGGGCAGACTGAGGGGCCACTAAATCGTGTCCCGAGAAAGAAAAACCATCAGCTTTGCAAAACGAGCAGGCCCTACGGCAACCAGCACGGACTTGACGAGAATGCGCTTCAGCTGTAGGTTGGTCTCCAGCTCGCTGCGCAGCTTGTGCTGCTCGGGCAGCACGTAACTGAATGGCTCGTGCATGTTTGTCGCCAGGTCGATATGGTAGATGCTGAGGCTCATCTCGAGTTTGACGAGCGACCACGGGCATGAGATGTTTCATGTATGTCCACTTCCGTGCAGGCGAGAACCTTTCCAGTCCATTCGCGTTCATGATGCTGTCGGGCATGATCTTGTAACCGTCCTCCGTGGAGGCCACTTCTGGGATGCGCTGCGCTTCCTCTGGGATGTTCTGATTGGCTCTAAAGGAGGCGTGGCTGATGGAGAGGTCGCTCAGGCGCGACTGGGCCATCTCCACTGGGTCCATGGCAACAGAGAGGTGGATGTCCGCGACAATCAGGTAATGCTCTGGCGTATTTACAAGGAGTCTATCGATGGTCGCTGCTGTGTATTGCTGTCTGCTGAAATATGTTGGCCCCTCCGTTCTGATCTCCTGCATAGAGACAAATAGGGAACGCCAGAGGGCTTCGGCATGTTGGTATGTATGATGTGTCCGTAGCTGGGCCTGGTCAGTTATCGGGTAATCATAGGACATCGGAACGCCTTCACGGATGTTGATGTCACCTATCGCGATGAGCGTGTGCTCAAGATGATTGCTGCTTGCCCATTGAATATTTTCCATCCATCTGCTATTGATAACATTCTTATCGTTCAGGGAAATGTTGTAGTTGTGGACATTCATGATGCGCATCTGGTAGCGTAGCTCCTGTTGCTTAATAGACAGTTGCGTGACCCTGCCTGGAGCAAGCACTTCAAATTCGAGAGACGGTCTGGTATCTGCATCGCTGGTGAGCCACGGCACCAGGAATGCCACTCCACCCCTTCGTGCATTGCCAGCGCGCTCAGCATCGGGTAATTCAGATGAATACTTTGATGATTCTTCCGCCTGTGAGCGAAAGACCTTGTAATTGTATGGGGAAGAGGCAACCATAACTTCTAGCTGCTGTCGATCACCATGCGTCTCCTGAATCATGATGAGAGTGGATGCCTTCATGGACCTCTCCATCTTGCGCAACTTGTACTTGCGGCGACGATACTTGTAGTAGCACAGGTCATGATAATTCCACGATACTACTTGGCCACGATGATCTCTAGCCTGTTGTAGCCACGGGCTCCAGCGCTTATTAAATAGACCACCGCGATGTATCTGTGGCCAAGAAGAGCTGTTGAAACTGATCTGTAATAGTGATCTTGTCGATACCCATCTGGTGGGCGACTGCGATGTTCCACCTGAGTTTTGCGGGCGCGCTGGCGCTGTCTCCAACCTCGAGAACCACAAGGGGAATTGAGCTGCAAGAGACAATACCTTCGTCTCCGACTCTTCTGAAGTGGTGATTGCCGTACTTGTCCGCCAGGAGCCTGACCAATCTCTCCGTTTGTAGCTCTCGCCGAAGTGTTTTAGGAGACTTGTCCGCGTTGATGCAAAGGGGGGTGAGCGCGCCAGAAGTGTTTGGAGCCGAGAAATTACGCCACTGACCTCCTGCTCTGAGATTCCGTGCGAGTGAAAGACTGCGTGAGGTGGCTGCTGGTCCACCAAGGACTCTGAGGAAGAAGCGCCGTGCAGGAACGTCGCCGATGAGCTCGACATCGTTGGTGGAGACGCCTGCTGCATTGATCCAGGGTTCAAGCGCTCGCTTGACCTCTGCGGGTTGTATGGCCGATGGCGCTCCAATAGTGTAGAGATGGGGGTCTGGAGGTCGATCCCAGACTGCCAGAGCTGCCATGTCAAAGGCGGGTAAAGTAGCTTCCGCCATTGCCAGTTGCGATTGAATCCGTTCCACGTCTTGCCGCATTTGTTGTTGTTCCTGTTCCACTGTGTGTGTACGCTGGTTGAGTTCTCGTACTGAGGTGTCGAGGGCGTCCATCCTGCCGCCATGCTGTCGAACGTGTCCGAGTACGAGCTGAAGTTCGCCTTGAAGGGCTTGCTGGGCGTTGCGAATGATGGCCTCGGATTCGTTCTGGAGCCTGGCGGTGGCGGACTCGATCTGGGAGGTGAAGAGCTGGCTGAGGCGCTGCTCCAGCGAGCTGTCGTCGTGCACGAATCCATCTCCAGGTGGGGTAGCCTCGCCCGCAATTGGAGTCGCTGGTGCCATTCCTGCAGGCGTTGCAGTAGGCGCGCCGGATGTTGTGGCCGCCTCTTCTGCAGCACGCGCGGGGAAGACCCCGGAAGCTGGTCGCGGTGGAAGCTGAGACCCCGTCCACGGGTCCTCTTTTTGTAGTGCATCTTCGCCTCTCGGTTCGGTTCTTGAACTGGCTGCCCTTGCTGCTGTCGCGGTCGAGGGTCCTCCGCTGCGCGTTGCCCTGCGCGTAGGCGTAGTAGCTGTGGCTGTGCCTGCTCGGCCCGTACGTGGGGGATGAGCTCGTTGAGTATGCCCGCTCTCCTGTTCACGGGGGGCTTCACGTTCACGTTCAGCTCGCCGTCTATCCCGATCTTGAGAAGGAGGGCGTTCAGATCTATGCTTATCACTTCGTTGACCCCTGTCACTACGAGAGTGGCTGCCGTCTCCTCTGCCCTTGTCCCTGCGATCTCGTACTCGCTCTTTGCGTGGCCGTCGACGTCGGTCCTTGGAAGCTGAGGAGGAACTGCTGCCGCTACTTTCGCTGGATGCCATTGCGAAATACTCTGCCGTTGTGGGAGGTCAGGCGGGACGCTGTGCAGCGCGGTGTCGTTGTAGTCGTTGCAGATTGTGGGCCGCTTCTCGCCAGCGACCTGGGACACGATATGGAAGCCGTCGAAGCTGATGCTGTTCTGGCTCTTCGTCAGGAGGTACTCAACTGACGGAATGAATATGGAGGCGCACACAGTAGCGAGTACTATGGCAAGAACACTTGGGCGGCCGCTAGCCCCTGGTTGTGGCGGCAGAAAAACTGGAAGCTCTGATGGGAGCCTACCCCGCTGAGGCAGTGGAATGGAAGCCATTTGGCCTTGAGCCAAAATGGCTTGAGCCAAAATGGCTACGGATGATGATGATGATGATGATGATGATGATGATGATGATGATGATGATGATGATGATGATGATGACGAAGATGACAACGAGGAGGAGGAGGAGGAGCGAGATTATGATGATGATTATTATGATGATGATGATGATGATGATGATGATGATGATGATGATGATGATGATGAGGAGGAGGAGGAGGAGGAGGAGGAGGAGGAGGAGTAAGAAGAAGAACATGATGAGAAAAAACTGCAAAACTACGCACACGGGGGGGGGGGCGGACAGTCGAGAGCAGGGGGGCGGAAGAGACGGACTCGAGAGACACGACGGGGAATCCTCCTGCCACTCGACGGGGTGTACTCCAACCCGCGCCGGGCAGGACTCCGGCGCCCAGGCAGCGCGAAGGCGCCGCAGGCACCGGCTCGTGACTGGCACGCTCTCTAGATCCGTGCGCTCCTCCTCGGCCTCGCCCTCTTCGAGCGACCGGCCCAGACCGCTCAAGGCCGGGAGAAGCGTCGCGCCCGCCTTCCCGCCCGCGGCGCGGACGCGCGCAGGCTCGGCGGTGGAGGCTCGGCCAAGGGACCCGCCCCACCCGAAAGGGGGGGGCAGCGGCCCCAGGGGGCTCTCAAGCAAGTAAAGCTTTTTGCTGCGAAAGGGGCTCCTGCAGAGCTCCCTGGCGCCGTGCAAGTCGGCCAGCGGCGATCCCAACTGGCGGTGCGCCTCTGGGATGCTCCGCGAGCTCTCGAGGTGCGCCGCGCCGGGCTGCAAGTTGAAGTCGAACGAGTCCCTCTCGGCCACGTGCAATTCGTTGGGTCTGGC